AAAAAAAAAAAACAAAAAGTTCTAAGATCGTGTTCTTTTCTTCATTATAATAACCAATAATAATAAGTCATTATTATTAAAAGTTCACGCCGACTACCAATTTACGTTGCTTATACTTTATTAATAAACAATAAAGAGTTGACATCTGAACTTAAGTGCACTACCTGCTCATTAAGCTGTATAGACAGAGAACAGAATAAATTAGTAATAAGTTAATTTTTTATCATTTAATAAGACTTGAAAAAAAAATTTAACGTATATAGTGATTATAATCTTTAAATTTCGTTGATGACATTGTTGTACTGTAAGTGTTGCTGGAACAGTAGAACAGTTTTGTTGGATAATGCTGAAGAGGTAAAAATTTATGAAGAAAATGAGGATCTATAAACAATTTGGTTGAATAATTATTTAATTTATAAATCAGCTATATATGTTTTTGGATGTCGTGTTGTTTTTGTTGTTGTTTTAGTTGAGTTTTGAATAGAAATGTTGGTGGTGATGGTGGTGGTACTGCTTCTGCTGCTGTTGCTGTTCCTTGGCAGGTTGCGTGTTATCAATCACTGATTAAATTGTTCCAGTTTTTTCTAGTAAATAGCTTTTTTTTTTTTTTATTTCAATGCTATAATGTCAATAAAACAATAGAGAAGAGAAAAGAAAAAAAATAATGTATAAATTAGTTGAGTTTTAAATAGAAATGTTGTGTAAAATTGCACTAAACAACGTTTTAAAACTGTTGCCGAATCTTTCACAAAACACAGTCACGCATTCCTTCCAAATATTTATGCTTTTCAGTTGACTCTTTCAACAATACAATTTTGTCGTCGTTTCTGGAAAAATTTAACTGACAAAAAAAAAAAATTATTTTTTTCTTTTTTTTTTGATAAAAATTATTTAAGATAATATTCTCCAATTCTTTTTGTGTGTTCAACAGCTAACTTAGCAATTCCTGTTTCTTTCCTTGTCTTTTTTTATTTTTTTGCTTTCAACTTTAGTACAGAATTAAATTTACACCAATATTTATAAGTTTTTCAACTGTATAAACTTTCTTGTTATTACCACTGAATAGATACTTTTTTTTTTTCTTTGTAATTGCAGTCAAAAATATCATTAAATTGAGTTGTTTAAACTATAAATAGCAAAAACTAAAATAACTGTTTTGCCAATGCCTTAACAAAAGATGCACAAATTAGTGCTGAATGTGGAAAAAAAAATTTATGTCTTAAAAATTTAGTTGACTTTATGAATTTCTTATTTGCATAGTATTTTTATCCTTCTTTTGT